TCATGGTGTGACTGACATCAGTTAATCATGATAAGTCAAATCCAAAAAAATGTACCTAAATCAGCAAGAATAAGAATATTGCAATCTAGAGTGATCTGAATTAGAGTTGTTGGCCAACTATTAGGTTCTCCATGTTTTCTAGTTCAAAGCACTATGTGGGGAAATGATATGCCAATTTAATAATGCTGTCCCCAGCGGGGAAAATATTATCACTATAAGGGAGGAAACAGGTACTATTAAGAAAGCAGAGGGAAAGGGAAGAATTATATGATTACGGAAGAGTTAATCCCATCTCTAAAAACAAAGGTTCTAGAAATGCATTTTTAAAATGTCTGCTCTTTAACATAAAAACAACTTTTAAAAAAGCACAGGCAGTTAACATTTAAAGGTCAGGGTTAAGAAGGGCCCTTCTAATAGGTATTGTTTGGAAATTCAGTCCATCAGACTGGGAATTATTTTTGTTTGTTTGTTTCAAAGTGTCAATTTAAGTCCCAGTCTCTACACATAATGTCAATTGTGTGATGATGAAATATATTGATTCCAGACAGAGCTACCTGGTAAGGAGAACAATGAAGCCTAAAAGCTTGTTCTGAGAATATAACTTAATACAAGTAGTCCACAACTTAAGAAAATTTATTTAGTGACCGTTCAAAGTTAGAATGGCGCTGAAAAAAGGGGATTTATGACCATTTTTTCACTACCATTGCAGCATCCCCAAGGTCACATGACTAAAATTCAGATGCTTGGCAACGGACTCATATTTATGATGGTGACATTTGCAACCTTCTGACCAGCAAAGTCAACCGAGAAGCCAAATTCACTTAGCAATCGTATTACTAACAACTGCAGTTAACGTGGCAAGAAAGGTCGTAAAAATGGGGCAATGCTCACTGAACAAATGTCTCACTTAGCAACAGGCATATATTGGGCTCAATTGTGGTTGTAAGTTGAGGACTACCTGTAGGGAGACAAGACTTCCAAGGATTTATCCCCAGATTGTGTTAGCATTTTTACTGTGTACGGTGTCCAGTCCTAGGACATGAGGGGTCTTTGGTGCTCTACGAGCTTTTTATTTATTTATTTAATCAAATGCTTACAATATAATAGAAATAATAATAAATATAAGTTTAAATATAAGAAATAGGAACTAATAATTGGGGAGAATAGGACGGGGATGGTAGGCACGATTGTGCGCTTATTTTCTTGCAGACATCTCATTACCCAGCCGCCCAATGCATTATAGGGATTCCACTTCCTGCCATTGTGGACATTCAGAGGAAACGATGTCTGCGTAAAGCCCACAGCATCATTAAGGACCCCTTCCATCCAGCCCACAAACTGTTTACTCTTCTTCCATCTGGGAGGAGGTTCAGGTGCCTGCAGTCTAACACCAGCAGGCTAGGGAACAACTTTTACCACACAGCGGTTTCCTTGCTGAACTACTCAGTTCGTTTGTCCCCACACATATGCTGATGCTTCCCTGGATAATATATTATGTATTTTGTATAATTCTCTGTGCATTTGTATTTATATTCAATGTGTCCATAAACATTTTATACAGTTGTATATGTTCATATATGTGCAGTCACACTTATCTTTGTGTGCTCGTGTACATACATTTTGTTGTGTTTTCCATTGACATATTCATAGATGCCTTGCATATTTGCATACATATATTTATATTTTACTGTTGTTTTGCACTTCTGGTTGGATGCTAACTGCATTTCGCTGCCTGTATCCATGGCAATGACAATAAAGTTGAATCTAATCTAATTACCAAAAATAGGTAACATCATCAGTGCTAAGCAAGGAGTGGGATTTACTCTGTTTATATTCTGGTGGCTTACTCTGTCAGTGTTTGGGGCTGCGATCTTACAAGGTCTTTGGTTAGGCCAGGGATCTTCAAACTCGACAGCTTTTAAGACTTGTAGACTTCAACTCCCAGAATTCCTCCTCTAGTCGTTAGCTCAGGAATTCTGGGAGTTGAAGTCCACAAGTCTTAAATTTGCCAAGTTTGAAGACCCTTGGGTTAGGCTGAGTACTGTTACCTTGTTTGGCCACTCCTTAGTTGGGAACTGTTTACTTCTTGACTGTTGATTCGATGTTAATCTTGGAGTTCATCCATGCTCATCTGGTTATGTTGATTGCTGGTGAAGAAGGGTGTTTTTGTTGTTCCTTTTTTGGCTTGTTAATTGTCTCTTTTGCACAGTAAGTAGATTTTGTTCATGTCTAAGTGTGTACGTGTTAAGCCTTCCCTGAATGCACTGGCTCATAAAGTCAACCATTACTGGTTTCTTTTCCTTTTGTTGTTGTTGTTGAACTTTTCAGAAGTCTTTTTAATTTTAGCAGCCCAGGACCAGGGCAAAAGACTCAGCTTTAGCTTAGAGCCAAGTCCTGCCAATCAGGCTTCTCAGAGGGCATTGCTATCCTTTTTTCTAATTTTAATAGAGGTGTCCGACAAACTCCAGGCACCAACGCTACAATCCAGGAAAGCAATTCCTGTAAGTTTTACAAAGCTAACTTGCTCAGGGGGCTGAGGAATATACTTCTCAACTGCCTAAATAAATTGATAGAGGGAACCTAATTCCATCTCTTCGCTGGAACTGAGACTTAATCCCTTCCAATTTAAAAAGCAAAACAACAACAACGTTCCACCACAATCCACCCGAATGAAACGCTCCTGTGAGGCGAGGCTGCCTTTTATACAGCGCCGAAGCCACGCCTACCGGTCCGCCCCCCCCACCCCTCGAGGCCGGCCTCTAGGAGGCGGGGCGAAGCGGAACCGGAAGTGCGGGAAGGAACGGGCGGAAGGGAGGGAGGAGCCTCCTGGCACTGGATTGAAGGTGTGGGGCGTCTCTTCCCTTTGCCTCGATTTGTGGGTAATGAGATGCAATGATGATGATGATGATAATAATAATAATAATAATAGTAATAATTGCTTGTTTTAAAGCCTGGAGGGGGGCGATTTTTAAAAACAGCCTTCCGGCCATTCACTGGAGTCTCCTTTCCCCCCACCTTTCCTGGATTGTTTTGATTTTTGCATCAGGGAGCTAGTCCTCTGGATCTTGCAAGGATTCTGCAGCCCCCCCCTCTCCTCCCCCAGGACCGTTTGGAGGGGGAAAGGACAGGGTGGAGCGGGATCTAGATCAGATCAGGGTGGCTTTTTCCCCCCCATCCCTCTGATCCTACCCACCCCCTCCCCCCCACTCGTTGTGTAATTATGTGATGATGACACAAATACCCGTTGTGTAATTTTGGATCTACAGCAGGGGGTGGGGGGAAGCAAAGACAGAAGGCAACCGCTTGCTGCCACTTCTCTTCCTTTTGCGGTTGCTTAAAGAGCCCAGGTGCCTCATTTGTCTGGAAATTTATAGGGTCTCCTGCTTGAGCAGAGGGTTAGACTAGAAGACCTCCAAGGTCCCTTTCCAACTTTATTATTCTGTGTGTTCTTGATGGCAGAAATTACAAGAAATATCCCTAAGGTTTAGCGGCCATCAAGGCTTTTCCCAGAATTACACCTGTAACATAAACTTTTTTTTTTTATGAATAGAGACTCCATAGGTTTTATGTGGCGGTGAGTGCATGCCTTCCTTCGAGTTTGCTTTTGATTAGTCCCTGCCGTTTTCACAACAAAGGTTTTTTGGTTTGCCCTTGCTTGCTTTCTAGGGCTGAATGGGAGTGACTGGCTCAGGGTCACCCACCTGTCTTGATCCCCAAAGCAGGAGGAGTACAACTCACATCCTTCGGGTTTCCAGCCTGATGCCTTAACCACTACGCATAGATCAATGCATCCTCTTAAAAGAGAAGATATTTGCTGGATATTTGCAAGGAGAGGGGACTTCCTGCTCTCTTATGAGCAACTGTAAATATTTCCCCTGCCCTTCTGAACTTTAGTCCTGATCAGATTTACTCAAAAATGAATGGGCTTCTGGTAAACTCATCCCCAAGGCAACAGACCTCAAGAATTTTCTCCATGGCTATAGTCGACGCGGAAAATGAAGGATTTTGTGTTGGCTTAAAAGCTGCGTTTCTTATGAGCCATAGTATTCTGTTCCATTTCTTCTCTGCTTTGATTCAAATGCTTTTCTTGGGGTTGACTGTTACTTTCAGGGTTTTTTTTGTTGGACATCTGTGACAATCTGATCATTTACCTTCTACAATGCCTCTTAAGATTGTCCTGATATCTCCTTGCAACAATGTGTCTGAAGATGATACACAAGGATAGTTAAACAATACTATTTGTTTTGCTCTTTCTTGAAACAAAATAGTATGTTCCAGTATGTCCATTAGTTACTCTTTCAGAGTAAATGCATATTTTATGGGCTCACAGTACTTAAAGGACAGCTATCACTTAATATAGAAAAGAGAAGCTTGCTTATGTTGAACTGGTTTTGTATGGCCAGATTGTCGACAATGATCAAATTTAACATTTACACAGGTGTTTTGTTTTCAGGAAATAACAGATGGTGGGATTCTTTATGTATTTTTTCAGGAATTCCAGAATGGCTTCTACTAATGACGTGGTTCAGAATTATCAGAGTATGTTTGCTTATCGATACACTACAGAGGATAAGGAATACCAAAAATACCTCCAGAGTTCTGCCAATCCACCTCCTATAATTGAAGACTGGATGAACAGGTCTGTCTGTTAACATTTTCTTTATCTCAAAATTTTGTTGGATGACTGTGGGCAGTCACAATTATGCAGTGTGTGCCATAAAGGCAAAATCCTAAACCAAGATAACAGAATGCAGAACAAGCCATAAATCCTAAATATAGCTAGCTCCACAGTGGCTAAGGAACATTTACGTATTTTAAATGACTGTGCTTGTATGTTTCAGGATTAAAAATATTTGTTTTTGTGCTTTATAGATCAAAATGCAAATTCCTTCCACATTTTCCCCGATAAGAATGTGGTTATGTACTGTTACCTATGTTAATGGTTTACAGATGTGATATGATGAGAATTTTATAAAAGTTTATCTGGCCATGTTAGTCTGTTTACTCAAGTGCGTAAAGACAAGAGACCAAATATTACGTTTAAGATTAGAGAGACAATTCCCAGTAATTGAATTGACTGCCACAGAGTATTTGCTACATCCTGACCTGTATAATGGGTATAATAACAACTTGATTTATTTATAGTGCCTTCAATATGTTTAACCACAATGGCTGTTGCTTTCCTGTCCCTGTTTATACATTTCAGCTACTTTTTTAAAAAAAAATTTTTTAATTGTAAGCTGCTTTTCAAATCTTGTAGTTTTAAGAACACGGGATTTCCATAAGGAAAATTGAAAAACCTTTATATAAATGGTAATGTTAATAAAATTGTAAACAGCTGGTAGATGTTTATGGATTCCCTATGGCTTATTTATCTGCGGTTTTTGAATAAACTAATATAGCTTTGCAAACAGATTAATGGTTTAAGATCAAGATAGTTAAGTTTATACAATATATGGGCATAACCAGACAAGCAACATTAGGTCTAGTGGGTTAAGGCACCAGATTAGAAAGCAGGAGACTGAGTTGTAATCCCACTTTAGACGTGAAAGCCAGCTGGGTGACATTGGACCAAGTACTTCTCTTTCTCAGCCCAACTCACCTCACAGGGTTGTTGTTTTGGGGAAAATAGGAGGAAAATGTGTTGGATATGTTTGCCGACTTATTTGTAAAAATAATAAAGGTGAGATATAAATGAAAACATGAATAAACAAACATGCGATAAATATATCTGCATGAATACCAACCAGAATGTAGCAATAAAGGAGAATATTTGTAGCTCAGGGTTAAAATGAGGGGTACTTGGTGCTCTCTGAGGTTGTTTTCTTGCAGACATTTCATTACCCAGCTAGGTAATATCATCAGTGCTAGTAAGGAATGCAATTTGCTGTCAGTTTATATTCTGGTGTCTTGTCTGTCTGTCCACCCCCACCCACATAGACAAGCAAGATACCAGATTATAAAACTGACTCCTTACTAGCACTGATGATGTTATTTAGTTAGGGTAATGAAACGTCTGCAAGAAAATAAGCAAGCTCAGAGAGCACCAAGGATCCCTCAGCCAAAATGTATTTGAAATATATTAGCTTACCTTGGAAATTTATCGCGAGGATGAGTTTACAAGATCACAAAAAGCTAAAAACAGCTGAATGATCAGAACACGCTTTAGAAATAACCTAGAGATTACAACCTGGTTGGTCACAAACTGGGATAGTAACCTTGTTTTCTAGGAAAATCTTTAGCAGTTGTATAAATAGCCTGCCCACAATTGCTGAAATCCTCTGACATTGTTGAAAGCTGCAGAAGATTAAATGTCAAACATGTCAACTGACTCCCTGTGACTCGAAGCACAGAAATGCATTTTAGATTGTGTGGTTTTTTTTTTTCTGTTCCAGTTCTACGTTGAATCCATCAGGCTTTCAAGGAGACTGAAATGCTGTAACTAATTGCCAAACCTAGTTTACCGCAGCAAGAACAAAACTGCATACTGTAGATTGGCTTTAAGAAAAGCAGATAAAATACTCGGAAGATTGATAGAGCTGGCTTATTTCAACCTGATGGATCAGAGATTGTACAGTTTTCATTCTGTGTGATTTATTTATTTATTTGATTGATTGATTGATTTGATTTGATAATCACTTACAAGATAATAGATATAAGAATAAACATAAGTAAGAATATGGGAAATAGATACGAATAAATGGGGACAACTGGATAGGGATGGTAGGCATGATTGTGTGCTTATGCAGGCCCCTTACAGACCTTTTAGGAATGGGGTGAGGTCAGTAGTGGATAGTTTGAGGTTAAAGTTTTGGGGGTTAGAGGATGTAACAGCAGTCAGGTAGTGCATTCCATGCATCGACCACTCTCTGTTGCTGAAGTTGTACTTTCTGCAATCAAGTTTGGAACAGTTTACTTTGAGTTTGTATCTATTGTTTGCCCGTGTGTTACTGCGGTTGAAGCTGAAGTAGTCATTTTTTTAAAAAACAAACTTTATTGATTACAAAACCAAAATATCAAACAAACACAACACACAGAAGAAGAAGAAAAAAGAAATAGAAAAAAAGAAAATGATTAAAAGCTAACATGTTGATAGACATGTGGAGGAAATTAAACCCTGAGAAAAAGTGATTTATATTTTACTCCAACCCTCACCAGTCATGGACACGAATCGATATGGTGTGGATGAATGGTGAATTAGTAAATGAATTAAAAGAGATAAAAAATTTACCAAACGAATGGGCAGATCACAGCCTGATTCAGATAGTGTGGAAAGGCAGGAAGAAACCAAGAAAAGGTGGACCTTAAATACACAGTTAATTAAAGAGAAAGAATTTATGAATAAACTTGACGAGGAATTAGACTATTTTTTAAAAGAAAATAATATTTGGGATACAATGAAGGCAGTAATAAGAGGCATAACGATATCATACACTGCTAAAAGAAATAAAGAAAAATATGCCCAACAAAATAAATTAGAACAAAGAATCAAAGAATTAGAAATTCAGCTGCAAAACACCCCAAAAGATTGCAAATTGAAAAAACAGATGATAATAACTAAACATAAATTTAATTTAATCGAACAAGAAGGAATGGTCTCAAAGTTAAATACAGCCAGACAGATATTTTTTGAACAGGCCAATAAACCAGGAAGGTGGTTGGCCTATAAACTTAAAAAAGAAAACAAAAAAGATTGATCTACCAATTAATAGATGAGAACGGGGATGCCCAACAAGTTATAGAACAGAAAAAAGAAATTGCATGTAAATTTTTTGAAGATCTTTATAAAAAGAAGGAGGTAAATGAGGATATGATAAGAAACTATTTGGGTATTACTAAATATAAAATAATTAAGGAGGAGATGAAGGAAATGTTAATTAGAGATATTACGTGGCCCGAGTTAAAAGCAGCAATAGAAAACCAAAAGAACAATAAAACCCCAGGACCCGACGGGATATCAGGGGAACTTTATAAAAAAAATAGGAGAACAAATAAGACCTCTCATGGTGGAAGTATATAATGAGGTCCTACTAGCAGCAAGAATGCCGGATTCATGGAAGGAGACATTGATATAGTTGATTCTGAAAGAAGATTCAGATTCACGACATATACAAAACTATAGACCAATTTCCCTGTTAAATACTGATTACAAAATATTTACTACAATTATAGCAAATAGATTGAAAAAAATATTGAATGAATATATACATAAAGATCAAAACGGATTCCTTCCTAATAGACAAATCAGAAATAATTTAAGGATAGTATTAAATGTTTTGGAATACTACGAAGCCCACCCGGAGAAACAAATAGCCCTTGTATTCTTGGATGCACAGAAGGCCTTTGACAATTTAAATTGGCAATTCCTAATTCAACAAATTTACAATATGAATCTAGGCACTAAATTTGAAAACATCGTGACTACAATTTATGATTCACAAAAGGCGAATATTATAATTAATGGAAAGTACACGCGCTCAATAAAAATAGAGAAAGGAGTCAGGCAGGGATGTCCATTATCTCCCCTGCTCTTCATATTATCTTTGGAAACATTGCTTACACGAATTAGACAGAATCCAGGAATAAAAGGACTAAAAATTAAAAAAGAAGAATATAAACTCCAGTCATTTGCGGATGATATGGTATTTTTCATAGAGGAACCAATTGAAACAGGTCAAGAATTACTGAAAGAGTTAGATCAATTTGGGGATTAATAGGGAAAAAATGAAATTAATAACTAAAAATTTAACAGAAAAACAAAAATTAAAATTGGAAAGGATAATGGGATTACAAATAGTAAAAAAAAGTTAAATACCTAGGAATTTGGTTGACGGCTCAATGCAAAACTCTAATGGAAAATAATTATAATAAACTATTACAGCAAGTTAAAAAAGATTTAGAGATTTGGGTTAAATTGCAAATCTCCTTATTAGGGAGGATTGCCACTATAAAAATGAATATTCTGCCCAAATTTATTTACTTATTCCAAACAATACAAATAAAAATACATAAAAATTACTTCATGGAACTTAACAAGATAATCACCAAATTTATCTGGCAAGGGAAAAAAACCGAGGATAAACCTAAAGGCAATGCAAGATATGAAGAGCAGGGGAGGTATGGCACTCCCAAATTAGGAATTATACTATAGTGCAGCCTCCTTACTCTGGTTGAAAGAGTGGGTAAATCTGTCAAATAAAAGGATCTTATTTTTAGAAGGCCATGATTTACAGAGGGGATGGCATGCATTTTTATGGGACATTGGGAAAATTAAGCAGAAGTATTTCCACAGACATATAATTTGAGATTCCTTATTGGCTAATTGGAACAAAATAAAAAAAAAAACATTATTTAAAAATCCCAATTTGGATCTCAACGATGGAGGCGATGATACATCCAAATAATCTAGATCTTAATAAAATGATAAAATACGAAGACCTTCTTGATGCACAAGGAACTTTAAAATCATGGCAAGATCTCCAAGAACAGGGGCTACAAGTAGACCGGTGGGCTTACTTGCAAATTCAAAATAGATATAGCCAGGACAAGAAAATTTTTGGAATTTATACTAAAGCACAACAAATAGATAAAATTTTATTAGGTCCAGATACAAAAAATATAACTAAATTTTATAATTATTTACTAGAGACGGAATTAGAAGAGGAAGTAGTCAAAGGCAACATGATAGCTTGGAGCAGAAACATAGGACGTAGCATTACATTATTAGAAGGGGAAAAGGTTTGGACAAGGAATAATAAAATTACAAGATCAGCAGCATATAAAGAAAATGCCTATAAAATGTTTTATAGATGGCATCTCTCACCCTTGAGAATAGCGAAAATGTCTCCTAACATGAATCCAAATTGCTGGAAATGTAAAAAGAAACAGGGAACATTTTTTCATATGTGGTGGTCCTGCACTGAAGCCCAAAGATACTGGCATAGAATAAAAAAATGGTTAGAGGAAATAACGGTGGAGCAAATTGAATTAAAACCAGAATTCTTCCTATTGGGGATATTTAATAGACAAATTCCGAAAAATGTCAAATATATAATACTACATATTCTTACTGCAGCCAGAATAACCTTTGCACAGTGTTGGAAACAAGCAGATATTCCAACAGAGGAGATGATTATACAGAAGATAACAGCCTGTGCAGAGATGGACAAGTTAACTTTAGCACTTAAGGAAAAAGAAACATCAGAATATTACCAGCTGGGAATGCTGGTATGACTGGATAGAACAAAAATAGAAAATATATTAGTAAATAACGTAAAATGTAAATCATAATTATATTTTCGCAATAAGATGTATTTGTAAATGTATCACCAATATTGATAACAAACAAGGAACTATAGACTGTCGATAAGTAGAATTGTTAGCTTTTAATCATTTTCTTTTCTTTCTTCTTCTTCTTCTGTGTGTTGTGTTTGTTTGATATTTTGGTTTTGTAATCAATAAAGTTTGTTTATTTTTTTTAAAAAAAGCTGAAGTAGTCATTGACAGGTAGGATATTGTAGCAGATAATTTTGTGTACTCCGCTTAAGTACAACTGTAGGGGGCATAGTTCAAGGTTGTCCAAGCCCAAAATCTCAAGCCTGGTAGTGTAGGGTATTTTGTTGTGAGCAGAGGAGTGTAGTACTCTTCTCGTGAAATACTTCTGGACTCGCTCAATTGTATTAATGTCCGATATACAGTGCGGATTCTAGACAGATGAGCTGTATTTGAGTATTGGTCTGGCAAAAGTTTTGTCTGCCCTAGTTAGCTGCTGCACTGCTTTCAAACCCCTCCCCCCTCCCTTTTTGTTGGCAACTCTAAAAAAACACATAGAATATTTTATGAGTTGACACCCAGTTTGTCCCAGTAACTTTAATTTCTTTTCTTTTTATGTACACTGAGAGCATATGCACTGAGGACAAATTCCTTGTGTGTCTAATCACACTTGGCCAATAAAGAATTCATTCATTCACTCATTCACTCATTTACTTTTACAGACGTTTCATGAGATCCTTTTTAACCTTGCAGAGAACCAAGTGCACCCTCTGTGTCGGAGATCCTCCAGAAGTACGAAAATAAGTTTGCCCATCGATTCACTTCCGAAGATGAGGAGTACCAGAAGTATGTTCAACGCCCTGCTGATCCGCCTCCCTTACTAGAAGACTGGCGAAACAGATCGGGTGGTAACCGGCGTTACAGAGATCGGTATTACAGTTGCTTTTTTTCTTTTTTAAAAAAAGTTTTTATTGTATGGATGGGGAAAAAATGTGAACACTGTACAGGTAGTCCTCGGCTTACGACCACAGTTGAGGGCAAGACTTTTGTTGCTCAGTGAAACGTTCGTTAAGTGAGTTTTTTTTTCTTGGGGGTGGGCATGTTACAACCTTCCTTGCCACCGTTGTGAAGTGGATCACTGCACTTGTTAAATTAATAACATGAGTCTGGGTTCCCCATCAACTTTGCTTGTGAAGGGGGAACCCCGTGACATGGCCACCATCATAAATGTGAGCCAGTCTGAATTTGGATCACATGGGGATGCTGTGATGGTTGTGTGAGAAACGGTGACAAGTCATTTTTTTCAGTGATGTTGCAATGGTCACTACATGAACTGTTGAAAGTTGGGGACCTTCGGTTTGCAATGCAGTCCTTTTGGCTGTTCTGAGAAGATTACACACCTGTGATTCAGGCAACCCTGAGGTCGCAGGTAAAAACCCCAAGCATTTTCAATGGCTCTCAAGAAAGTGTGAAAGACTGAGCCACAGTGGTCAGAATGCAGTACTGCAGGCTACTTCTGCTGACTGCCGGCTGCCTGCAATTTGGCAGTTCGAATCTCAGCAGGCTCAAGGTTGACTCATCCTTCCATCCTTCTGAGGTGGGTAAAATGAGGGCCCAGATTGTTGGGGGCAAGAGGCTAACTCTGTAAACCGCTTAGAGAGGGCTGTAGAGCACTGTGAAGTGGTATATAAGACTAACTGCTATTGCTAAGTGGGAAAGAAGGAAGGAAGGAAGGAAGGAAGGAAGGAAGGAAGGAAGGAAGGAAGGAAGGAAGGAAGGAAGGAAGGAAGGAAGGAAGGAAGGAAGGAAGGAAGGAAGAGCCATGATGATGCAGTGGTTACAATGCAGCATTGCAAGCTAACTCTGCCCACTGCCAGCAGTTCCTGATCCTGATTGGCTCAAAGTTGACTCAGCCTTCCATCCTTCCGAGGTAGGTAAAATGAGGACCCAGATTGTTGGGGACAACCTGCTGACTCTCTAAACCGCTTAGAGAGGGCTGTGAAGCACTGTGAAGTGGTATATAAGACTAACTGCTATTGCTAAGTGGGAAGGGAAGGAAGGAAGGAAGGAAGGAAGGAAGGAAGGAAGGAAGGAAGGAAGGAAGGAAGGAAGGAAGGAAGGAAGGAAGGAAGGAAGGAAGGTGAAGGAAAGAAGGAAGAGCCATGGTGATGCAGTGGTTACAATACAGTACTGCAAACTAACTCTCCCCACTGCCAGCAGTTCCTGATCCTGATTGGCTCAAGGTTGACTCAACCTTCCATCCTTCCGAGGTGGGTCGAATGAGGACCCGGATTCTTGGGAGCAATATGGTGACTCTGTAAACTGCTTAGAGAGGGCTGGAAAGCACTGTGAAGCAGCATGTAAGTGCTATTGCTATTGCTAAAACCAGATGACTGCAAAGAAACACAATCTTTCCATTTCCCCTCCCACCATCCTGTCAGAACTTATCCTTCCAACCCACCCACCCCCAACCCCCAACTAATCACAACTGTCGGTAACCATCCTTCCATCTCTCCCATTGCCTGTTAGAACTGATGAAGCTTCCTGGGTTGGAAGTGAATTGTCTTCTTCTT